AAAGAGTTGTATAAATTAGTTAGTTTATAAAGAGTTGATGAAAATTTTACTTAAACTCTTGTTTTATGTCTTGTAGAATTTAATGAAGGTCCAAAGTCTCAAAAAACTCCAATCTAGTTGGGTGTTTGGAAAAGGACTGAGCCATTTCCAAAGGGTTAAGTTGTTTCAAAAGGGTTGGGGTTCAACAATTTATCAAACTCTCATGTACTCCTTTTGATTTATATATATGATAATCTATTATTCAGTGTTAGTTATTTTGATTCTGATTCCATTCTTTATGCTAAAGTGACTTGATTACTCATCTTTGATCTTTGATTTGAATTTTGGTTGAAAAATATTTTCTAAATCTAATTTTGAATCAAATCACCTAACAACTCTAAAGAATAGAAATAGATTTGAAGTTGTTACAAGTTCTTAAACTTAATGTAAGGTTTCTAATTTGATAAATAAAAGAATTATTTATTGAGTTAGACTCCTTGGAATTTTTAAATGCAAGAAATTTATTTGGAATGATCTTAAAGAATTCAATAACATTAGATAATAGAAATCATATATAGATGATCTTAGGAAAACATAAGGGTGATATTGGTGAAACTCAATTACAACAACTTTACATACCATTATCTTTCAATTTTACCATTGCTTTGTTGTTATCTTTTAATAATTCTAATATTGAAACATGAACTACATCATATTTATAATATCTGTGAATCCTTCTATTTCAAGCTTTTACTAGGATATCATAAATTATAAATATTTTCCTAGTCTGTAGCTTTGACAACCCATATTTTATTTCGATGCTATAATGACTTGGTGTACTTGTTTCAAAATCTCATCACTCTCATGAGTAGGGTTTTATTCTCATAGATTGTGTTTTCCTTTGATTTTTTTTTAAAAGCAATAAACAACATCTCTGCAGTTGAATTGGTCTAACCCTTCGGTTCAACGGGTCCTACTGGCCGGTTGGTTATGTGGGACTTCAACAGCAATAGTTACCGTTGTTTTGTTTTAAATTTTCATTTTTTGTGGTGTATTTTTTGATTCACTTGGTGGTATTGATGACAGTAAATATCATGGACAAACCTTATTTAAGGGAGTGAAGGTCAGCAATGTAGGATGCAATTTATGATGGACAGTGTTGCAGGACTTGGGGCAATATAGTTCTATTAATATTCAGGCTGGCAGGTATTAATATTCAGGCAGGTGTGACTAAGGATTTTCGGACTTAACAATTCAAAATGTGGTCCTTCCTATATCTGGTGCAACTCCTTACTGTTTCATGCAGCTCTATGAAGCAATAAAAAAATAATAGCTCAAACTTTTGGTTTAAATGTGTAATGGAAGGCACTACTGATCCTACATATATACGAGTTCACTAGAAAAGCACTTTGCACGGAGAGTTCTTTGCTGTTAACTTATTCCCTCTTTTGTAACATCATATCAAGAATTTCTCTAGTACTTTGGAATTCCAGTGAAAATCCTGAAATTGACTCCACGAAAAAATAATGCTGACAAGCACCAAACACCACGCACGTTCTCCATAACATATATTATTGTTTAATTGCATTAATTGGCAGATTAGCTAAATCACAATATTTTCACGACTTTCTCTTTAATATATAGTTAGTTTTCACACTTTCGTGGTACATAGAATCAGATTTGGAACTGTATTTAAACAGATCCAGATTGACCCATAATCTGCTTTTATGGTCTGATGCGAAGACTTTTTATGACATGACATTATATTTAACAATATTATATGAGCAACTTATTTAAAATTGGGTAGCGTGATATGATATGGATATGGAGACAACTAATCAACATTAACAAATTGCAAAGTCAGTACTAGCAACCATGCACGTTCCCACCTGTATCTGAAACTTGGCCAGCGCTCATGTGAGTCAAACTAGCTACCATGTGTTTTTGGACAAGTGGATGATATTTTAATTTGGCCGTGCCAAATTTTATGACTAAAACCACTATTAAGAGATGTTTTGCACTCACCACAAACACAACCAAAAAAGAGAGCTAGATTGAAATGGCAGAAACTGCAGTGTCCTTGGCTCGTGAGCATTTGCTTCCAAAACTTGTTGAAGCCGTGAAAATGCTTAGAGACCTCCCAAAAGAAGTTGCAGACATTACAGAAGAACTAGAGAGCTTTCAAGATTTCATCAATGATGCTGATAAAGTGGCTGAAGCTGAAGAAGGTGATGCTAAGCGTAATAGAATAAAAAAAAGGGTGATGCGACTGAGAGAAGCAGCTTTTCGCATGGAAGATGTCATTGATGAATATAAGATCATTGAAAATGAGGAAAACCACCTTGATGACCCTCGATGTGCAGCTTTACTATGTGAGGCTGTTGACTTTCTCAAAACTCTCATCCCTCGCCTTCAAATAGCATATAATCTTCGGGATGTTAAATCACTTGTTTCTGCTGAAAGAGATGGCTTCCAAAGGCAATTTCCTTTAGAACCAAGAACAAGCGGTTTTAGAGGAAATAAAATTGTGCCATGGCTCAAACTTCGAATGGATCCTCTCTTTATTAAGGAAGATGAGGTAGTGGGCCTTGACAGCCATAGACTTGTTTTGAAAAATTTGTTGACAAAGGGACGACAAGAACGCACAGTCATCTCTGTTGTAGGAATTCCAGGAGTGGGAAAAACCACTCTTGCAAAGCAAGTCTTTGACAAGGTCTATAAGGACTTCGAGTGCCATGCATCGATCACAGTGTCGCAATACTACGATGTAGAAGCATTGCTAAGGGATATGTTGGACAAGCTTTGCTGCGACAGCATGAAGGATCTTCCTCCGAATGCTTCTCGGATGGATCGAAGGTCGTTGATCGAAGAAATCCAAAAGCAGTTGCGGAACAAGAGGTACGTTGTGCTTTTTGATGACGTGTGGGAAGAAAAATTTTGGGATGACATTGAATCTGTTGTGATAGATGATCACAATAAAAGTAGGATATTAATCACAACTAGGTACGAGGAAGTTGCGGACTTTTGTAAGAAATCTTCGTTTATTGAAGTGCATAAGCTAGAAGAACCATTAAGTAAGGAAGAATGTTACAGATTGTTCTGTAACAAGGCATTTAAGTATGGTTCTGATGGATGTTGTCCAGAAGAGCTTAAAGATATATCTGTTGAAATTGTTAGAAAGTGTAAAGGTTTACCTCTAGCAATTGTGGCCATTGGTGGTCTTTTATCCCAGAAAAATAAAAGTGCACACGAATGGAGATTGTTTAGTCAAAATCTAAGTTTAAAGTTGGAGAGGAATTCTGAGTTAAATAGTATAACTAGAATTTTAAGTCTAAGTTATGAAGATTTGCCTTACAATCTTAAACCATGTCTATTGTATTTTGGAATGTATCCTGAAGACTATGAAGTTAAATGTAGTAGATTGATTAGTCAGTGGGTAGGTGAAGGGCTTGTCAAACATGAAATCGGAAAAACTTTGGAAGAAGTTGCACAACAAAATTTATCAGGGTTGATCCGTAGAAGTTTGGTGCAAGTATCTTCATTTAGCATTGATGGCAAAGTTACAGGATGTCGTGTTCATGACTTAATACATGACATGATCCTTAGAAAAGTGAAGGAAACAGGGTTTTGTCAATATTTTGATGAGCATAATCAATTAATGTCAAGTGGGATCGTTAGACGCTTAACAATAACAGCAGGTTCCTATGATTTGATTAGAGTTGAAAGATCACACATTCGGTCAATTCTAATTTTCACAAAGGAAATTTTATGTGAACACTTGATGGGCGAAATCCTTGCAAAATACATGCCGTTGAAGGTACTTGATTTTGGTTATGCTCAATTCAGTCAATTGTATGATGTTCCTGAAAATTTGGGGAATTTAATCCACTTGAAGTATCTAAGCTTCAGGTATACACGGATACAAAGTCTCCCAAAATCTATTGGTAAGCTCCAAAACTTGGAGACCTTGGATGTACGAAATACATTTGTGTCTTACATAGCAAAGGAGATTAGCAAACTTAGAAAGCTGCGCCATCTTCTGGGTGATACATTATCTTCCATTGAAGTAATGGATAGTCTTGGAAGCATGACATCCCTTGAAAAGATACGTGTACTCAAAATAGATCCTGACGGATTGGTGATTAAAGAGCTAGGAAAGTTAAAGCACTTAAAGGATTTGAGGATTGCTAGTTTTAGGGAAGAACACACAAACACTCTATGTGCCTCAATACATGAGATGCAATTAGAGGCACTACATATTTATGAGCCTCTTTGGATAAAAATTAGACTCTATCCAGAAGATGACAATGAAATAATTGACTTGCCCTTTATGTCATCCCTATCTACAGTCAGGAAGCTTTGCTTAAATGGGAAGTTAAAAAAGTTACCAAATTGGATTCCTCAGCTTCAAAATCTTGTGAAATTATCTTTGAAGAATTCCGACTTAACTAATGATCCATTGGAATCACTGGAAGATATGCCAAATTTATTGTTCCTCTCTATCAGTTCTCATGCTTACGTAGGTGAAACTATGCATTTTCAAGATGGAGGGTTTCAAAAACTAAAGGAGCTAGAGCTTATATATTTGTCCAAATTGAATTCCATCTTTATTGGAAGAGGAGCACTACATTCTTTGAAAAAGCTTCAATTAGAAAAAAAATCCAACATCTCAAGACAGTACCCTATGGCATTCAACACTTAGCGAAACTTGAAGTTCTCAATATCAGGTATATGCCATATGAATTTGAGCAGAGCATTGCTGACGATGGAGGACAAGAGCATTGGATGATCCAACATGTGCCCTGTGTACAAATTACAAACTTGTCGACTTTCCCAAAGAGAGAGTCAGTTTCAAAAGTCCAATAATATCCAGATTTCTATATAAAAAAAGGTGTTTTCTTTTTCCTTCTTTTTAATATATATATCTCTATGGATCGACAGGCAAACATTATTTTTAATATTAAAATAATGCAATTGTTTTCTAAATGTAATCCTTTGGAATTCTATTGAAAAATTAGGAAAATGACTCCTTAAATTTTTCTCTTTCTATATTAAAAATGGTTGAACAAATGAACAGATTAGGGAGATTTGCGTATTTGGATTCTTGAAGGTTGGGACCGAGCCATTCTTATTATGAGCAAGCACAAGGACTGGTTAAAGAGGTGAGTAAATTATTACAATAGCTTCCTGCCTTTTTAAAAAAAATTTCTTCCCTTATTTGTTGGTGGTATTATATCAGATCTTATTCATTTGTTATCACTTAACAGTTGGTGGAATATTCAAGATAGGAAGATAAGCCAGAATTGGACAACATCTAACTTTCATATCCATACCATCACAAAATTACCTCAATGGCTAGCAGGTAATGAATCTACCACCAATGCTCTATATATGGTTTGTACCGTAGATATGAGTGCTATTGTTGCTTATTGTTTTAAAACTTTTGAGTTCAGGTTTTTCAATGCAAGCTACGAAGCACAAGCTGGTGGACACCGTAGTGATTGATGGGATTCAGTTGTAGTCACCCACATTAGTGATTTTGGTATAATAAAAGTGCTCAATATCCTACAATGTAAAAGGACTGCTGGGTGATATGTTGTGCAAGTTAGGGTGTGTAAAAAAAATTATAATGAGCCAATTTAAATTTAAAATTGAATTGCACCGTTTAAAAAAAAACAATTAAAAAAAGGTTAAAATCTTAATTTAGTCTCTTATAATATTAAAAAAAATTAATTTGATCCCATTTTAATTTATGAGTTCAATTTAGTCCCAATTTATTTTAAAATACTTTAATGTGTGACTTCCGCCTGTTGAGTGTCTTTTATGCATGATTTGCACTCAACTTTTGATACTCTTTTTGATAATTGTAGATATTATATATGTTATTTTACCCCCCTTAATTTAAAGAATCAAGTTATACTAAAAGAGTAGAGGAGTAGTAGCAAAATCTTAATGAATTTCCTCATTTTTTGCAGATTTTTTAGGAAGGCAGAGATCCACAGCCATAGCTGTAGATCTGGAGCTCGAGCTGTGCAAATCTAGAGAGAAATTGTGAAGGTCAGAAACTTGCAGCTATAGCTGTAGTTCTGCAGCTATAGCTGTGGAAATCTGGAATGCTCATTTTTTGGTTACAAAGACTTGAAGCTAAAGATGTAGGTCCATAGCTTGAGCGTTGAGGCTTGGGAGATCAAGGAAAGTCACAGAGACTCATAGCCATAGCTGTGGTTTCACAGCTATAGCTTAGGGAGTTGCTTAATCATGAAGGAGTTTTCACAACCATGGTTGTGGAGCTACAGCTGCAGTGCCAGGAGTTTCTTCACTCTGAAGGACTCTCCACAGCTATAGCTGTGGATTTACAACTGCAGCTGTGGGCGAAAAAATCCCTTTTTGCCCCTGTTTCAAAGCTCATATAAAAGGGGAAAATTGGAGAAACAGGGGGCAACACGAAACACAAAGAGAAAAACAGGATTTGGAGCACGAAGAGGAGAAAACAGGGCAAGAGTGAAGATTGGGAAGTTGGATCATTTGGGAACGAAGATCAACCCCTTCTCTTCATCTTTTAATCTGTGATTTCTTCTTCTACTCCTCTGATTTGTAATGGCCATGTGTGGCTAAATCTTTTGAGGATTGGTCCTGGTGTAACTACTAACTCTTTTCTTTCTTAAATCTATCTATGCATTTTATTCTTATTACTTGTGCTTGATTCTACTTTTAATGCTTATACTGGCTTGATCACCCGTTATATGAATATTTGGTTTTTGAATCCTATTGGAAAATGTTTTTGAGAACCCGAACTGAATCTTGCACCTAAACATCTCTTGCTCTAGGAATAGACTTGATTTGTTTAGTCACCTTGTTCAAGTCATTGTTCTTAATGCAAAGTGTTAATCATAAAACATAGAAGAATGATGTTTTAGATTAATTACTTTAGGATTCAATTTTGAGGGATCTTGTTGAATTACTAAATGAACGTGGAAGTCATGAAGATGAAATCATATTTATTTTAAGGAAATTTAAGAGTTAGCAAGTGCTCCTGGGTCCAATCCTTGTTTTATATAATTGTTCTTATAACTTTTACATTACCGTTTTAATTTTGTTTCACATTAGCTCACTTCCAATCATATCAACATCTCTTTATTAATCATTGGAGTAAGAATTACTAAACTCCCAAATCCCTGAGGACGATACTTAATTACTACATCGAAACTTAGTCCGCTTGCCAAGTGGTGTGTTTGCAAAAACCTCATCACCGTCCAAATTTTACAAACGGTGTTAAATTTTGGTCCTCAGACCGTGAGAATCACACCCCGTGATTTGGAATCACGAGCTTGATTCTCATGGACCTTTGCATTCATTTGGTATCCATATGATCAAGATTTAACACCATTTGTAAAATTTGAACGGAAGTCCTACATTGAAGTATTTTAAAATAAATAGGGATTAAGTTGAAACAAAAAATTAAAGTGGAACCAAATTGATTTTTTTTAATATTATAAAGGACTAAATTAGGGTTTTAACATAAAAAAACTACGTTGTTTATATAAAATCAATTTTAAAATTGATCTGATAATTAAATTTGATCCACCACTTTTTAATTAATGAAATAAAATTAAATCAAAACAATATATTTATGTATAGTAATTTAGAGTCTCACATAAAATGTTTGAGTGTTAGTGTCATTGTTTTTTTTTTTTTTTAACTTTTGATTATCTTTAAACTATTTATTTATAATACAAAAATTGAGTTACTCTATATTATGTTGACACTTCATTTTAATTGAGTTACTCTACATAAAAATTGAGTTACTCTACCAGAAAAACGCAAATTTTCGACGGACATAATCCGTCGAAAATTCTCTATTTCCAATGAATTTCTGACGGATACAAATTTGTCAGAAAAATGAGCGTAAAAAAAAAATCCGTCAAAAATTGTTTGAAAATCTTTATATGATTCCGAAAAATAAATCCCTCATATTTGACCTCTCAAGGATTCTATTACACGAGACTTCACTTTTCAGCGTGTTTTGCACTTATTGCACAGTTTTTGGAAAATTTACCAGAAAGTCACTCATCCCTATATTACTTAAGTCAAGCACGTTTAACTACGGAGCTCTGATGAGATAAGCTATTGAGAGGCAGATGCATGTTGTTAGTATAGGTAATACAAATTAATTCATTTAAGTCATTCTCAACTATACAATATCATACTTATACTATTTTTGGACCCCTCTCATTTTGGTGTATCCGGACTATTATAAAAATATAACAATATATATAATAATTATATTACCAATAATAATAATAATATTATATTTAATTATTTTTTATTTATATATATACTTACTTTTATAATTAATAATATAATTTACTTATTTCTATTTAAAATTAATATTATGATATAATTTAAATTATTTATTATAAATATAAAAGTTTAAATAATTTATATATTTTAAAATGAGAAGAGTTATAATAACACTGGTATAACTTTTATTAAGTATTACATCACTCAATAACTTTATATTAAATGTGAATTTTGTAAATCTAACTGTTAGATTGAAAGTTAACATTTTCATATTGTTCCTTTCCAACACTTACCAAGGAGATCCATAGCTTTTCTCCCTCTATTGCTCCATCGTGGTGAAGACTGCTCCTCTATCACCTTCATCGCCCCATGCACCTACCCACCTCGTGTATGCCCATCCCTAACCCAAATCCTCCAAATCTTCATTGATCGCGGCTTTTTTGTTGAAGCCAAAATCGCAATAGCTACTCTCATGTTGCCTATGTGCAATGACTACTCCCCTATTGCTTCCTTCTCCCTCACCACCTTCTCTCCCCCTAAATCTTCCATATTTTCATCAGTTGCAACTTTTTTGTTGAGGCAAATATCACAACAACCATTCTTCTATTGCCTATGCACGATGATTGCCCTTCTAATCTTCTATTGCCTATGTACGATCGCTCCTCTGTTGCCTTTGTTGTCTCTTGCCACCTCCCCATCCCCTCGATGCTCATCCCCCAAATCCTCTAAATCTTTACCAATTGTAGATTTTCCATGGAAGTCAAATCTTTTCCAAATCTTACAACCACGGATACTTTTATATTTAAATAGGCTAGGTACGTTGTTGCACTCTTCAAATTATATATTCATTATTTGTAAAATCCTATGTTTTATATTCATTGCTTCTAGTATGTCATGTGGTAGCTGCTACTACATAGCCAATATTTAGAAATTCTAAATGTAGGAGTAAATTTTGAAGTTTTGGTTTGAATATTAATATATTTAGAATCTGAGAAAAAGAGATGAAGAGTACTGATGGAATCTTCTTGGAATTTGAAGGATGAAGACAAAGGTTAATGAAGTTATATTAGGTTCTATCCTTCATGAAATTCTTGGAGGGGTCCTTCAACAGTTTGATTTGATGACATGTTTTTCTCAAACTCAATTGGTATTTTGTTCTCCAATATTTTTAATTTATGCTATTCAAGTTTCACATATAAATTTATAGTGTTGTTGTAATTTCATACACCAAATGAAGTGCAGATCAGGACTTTCATGAAGTATATTATACAATACGCATAATTTAGAGATGGCCAAATACTTCCTACCAAAAATGTCACTTCTCTTTCTTAGGTTGATTATTAGTCTTCATGCATTGTATTTAGGCCAACGAGAACATTTCCTGGTAGTATAAGGATGACAAAGGTTAATAAGGTTAGATTTGTAGGTTTTGAGGGAAAGGTGAGGATTAACATAATTAAAAGTAGAAGTTGAGCAACAAAGTCGAAGGATCATGGAAGATGCATTGCTTTCTAATGTTCCATGTTGCTTAGAAAGGTCCCTCAACAGTTTGCTGGCACGCTTTCTCAAACTCAATTGGTACTTTGTTCTTTGGCATTTTTTAATTTGTGTGTTCAAGTTTTCACATATAAATTTATAATAATATTCTTATGTAATTTCGGATACCAAACAAAGAAAGTGAAGACAAGGACTTTTGTGATGTTTTTGTGCAATTACCTGAATCACTGATGACCAAATATATGCTAAAAAATGAGGCTGTTCTTTTACTTTTAATGAACTGTATGAGAAAACTTAACTAAGTTGATAACTCACTTAAAATTATTGCATTGTTAAAAGGGTAGAAAAAAAATTGGGAGGAAGTGAGAAAAACTTGCAATTTTATCCAAACATGTTAGACAACATTATGGAATGTCCAATATACCTATCCTATTTTGGGTTATATATATATATATTAATTACGGACTGTTAGATCTTTTATTTCTTAATTTTGTATGAACGAGAAAAGTAAAACATTTATATATAGTGAAAATATAAAAAAAAATATTTATAATTTAATTTTTTTTATATTACAAATTTATTTATTTAATTTTATTGTTAATAATTTAATATGCATTTTATTATTTTTATTATATCATACACATAAATAAGTTAATTTATCAAATATTTTTATAAGTCTATATTTAACTTTTTTAAAGAAATATATATTTTTAAAATTTAAATATAATTTTTTTATTAAATAAGCTAGATCAGATAGATTTTAAACAGACAAAATCATAAATCTTTTATTTAAAATTTAATCTATTTTTTTTTGTCTAATCATAAAAGATATTGAAATGTAATATTGGCAATTTGGCATGTATAACCACGTTTTCATAAACATTATCACTAACATTATTGTTTAATTACATTAACAGATAAGCTAAGTCACAATATTTTCACAACTTGCTCTTTAATAATTAATTTTGACATGTATATATAACCACGTTCTGATAAACAATATCACTAACATTATTGTTTAATTTCATTAACAGATCAGCTAAATCACAATATTTTCACAACCTGCTCTACAATAATTAGTTTTCACACTTTCATGGTGTTACATCGAATCAAATTTCAAACTGTACAGATTCAAATCGAACCATAATCTTCTTTTGTTGTCAGATGCGACGACTTTTTATGAGATGCGATGATATTTAACTATATTATAATGGCAAATTATTTAAAATTTGGGTAGCGTAATATGAAATGGATATGGTGACAACTAATTGACATTAACAAATTGCAAATTTAATACTGGCATGAACTTCCAA